ACCCCTCCCAGCTTCACCGCTTCTCTCTTACTTTTTCTTTTCGGTTTTCTATTTTGTTGTTTGTTTATTGATTGGCATTTTGAGACATGGTTTCTCTGTGTAGTCTTGGCTGTCTGGGACTGACTTTGTAGACCAGGCTGGCCTCGAACTCATGGAGATCCACCTTCCTCTGCCTCCCTGTCTGGGGGCTAGAGAGACCGTTCAGTAGTTTTTAGAGTAAAGAGGTTGCAGAGGTCCTGGTTGGTTTCCCAGCACCTACACGGAGGCTCGCAACCATCTGTAACTCCAATTCCAAGGGATTGTCTGCCCTCCTAGGTCACCAGGCACTTCCATGGCACATATGCGGGCAAAACATGTACACACATAAAATAAAGATAAATAAGCCTTTAAAAATAAGAAATGCACTAAGTCCAGTCGGTGGCGCCCGTATGCACATAGGCGTGGGGCCGTCTGTTAGAGTATTAGCAACTCGCCAGTCTGGCCTGCCTGATCTAGACCGCACTGCAAGGCTCCCCTCTCACCTTTGTGAGGTTCTCTGAGCCCTGGTTGTTGATGGTTGTGGTGTTGTGGGGCTGTGGTGGCAGTGCTGCTGCCGAGCTCTCCAGTCGCTCTCAGCACTTGACCGTCATTAACTGCTGCCTGCTGTAAGAAGTTTCTCTGACTAGGGTTGAGAGCAGGACTGACCTGTGGGTATAAATAAACATGTTTAAAAAGCAGTTTGACAGCATGACCATTTAGCCAAACAACTCTACTAAGCTTCATGGGGAGACCTATGGCCTCCCCCGCTGTAGGATTTTGATCAGGTTTACTTTACGAGACATGAATTCTCTCCTTTGGAGCACGCTTCAAATCCAATCAGAAAATGGTTGGTTACCCTGTAACAGTCATGCCACTGTTATAGCAGTGGGCGCGTCTTGGCTCTCAGGTTGCTATTTCAACATGCAGTGGCCAGTGATGATTAAATCCATTGATCATCTTACTTTAAATGGTAAACCAGCAGCACAGAAATTCCAAATTACTAAAACCTAAAAGGTTTCTTTCTTACTTCTGCATCCTTTTTCCTTCCCCTCACTCACTACCTTTCTTCCCCCACTAAGATGAGGAGGAATAGGGAAAGAGAGGAGGCAAGGCTCACTACTGCCCCTGTACTTAACTCACAAAAAGACAAAATGGATGAGAAAGACTGGGGCACATGAGCTAGCTCTTAGCCCCGTTAGGGTCACGGTATTGAGTCTTTTGGCTTGTAGTTAGATAGGAGATTTGGGGCACAGGAAGAGGGCTACAAAATCTTAGAGTCTGGGGAATATAGCACAATTGGTAGGCCTGCCTCATCTGCACAAAGCCTTGTGTTGGAACACCATATAAACCATACCATATAAACCATACCATATAACCACACCAGCACCATATAAACTGGGCAGGATGGTGCAGGCCTATAACCCCAGTACTTGGGAGGTAGTAGCAGGAGGATCAGGGTCAAGGTGACTCTTAGCTACATAGGGAGTTTCAGCTACATAAGATCCTGCCTAAAAGAAAAAAAAGACAAGATGTTTTTATTTTATTTTATTTTTGTTTTTGAGATATTTTGACACATGACTATTTGAGTCACTCGGCAAGGTACCAGCTGTGAGGACTCAGCCCTCCAGCATTAAGAGGTCAGAGAAGAGCCAGGCATAGTGGTACGCCTCCACACACATTTGTAATTCAAGCACTTAAAAACTAAGTCAGGAGGATCATGAGTTCAAGGTTAGCCTGAGTTACATGGTGCACCCTATTTCAAAAACAGAACACAAAACCCTGGCTACTCACAAATGCTGTAACTCCAGTTCAGCTTTGGGGTTGTGATGCCCTCTGCTGGCCTCCAGTGGCAACAGGTGTGCATGCGGGACACATACGTCCAAGTAAACACACACACAAATTCTTTTATATTAAAAAAACAAACTAGAGGTGAGAGAAAGAGAAAAAGCCCTGGGGCTAGGAACACAGCGGAGCAGTATCTATTGCCAGCAAGAAGGGGGTTTCCAGGAGGGAGGAGAAAGGACTCCTGGCCAGCAGGTCCTCTAAGAATGAAAGCTCACCATTGAAGGTCACTGGTGGAAAAGAGAGGTTCTGCCAGGACAAACAGGTGACCCCTTTGGCAAAGCAGAGTAGAAAAAGGCACAAAGCTGGAGTAGGGTGCTGAGCTGGCCCAGTGGAGGGCACTGAATGGCTTCTTAGCTAGAAACATCTTGTAGAGCCCAGTGGATAAGCCATCTTTAGGGCCAGCGTCTAGAGTTTTTGGCATTGAGCAGGGCTGAGTGTGGTCCCCTCGGGCTACATACCTACAAGTGGTTGTCATGTGGGTAGCCATCACCAGAAGGTGCCCAAGTGTGTAGCAAAGGAATCCACAAAGAAGCATCAGAGTGGAGGTAGGGTCAAGACAGCTCAGATGCCTCTTCAGGGATCAGCTAGTTCTGTCTGCAGTAGGCATTTCTACCATTAGGGAAACCACCAGCCTTTCCTGTAGACCAGCATGACCATGGCTGTGTTACGATTGCTCTTCCCAGGAACTCACAGAGGGGTAGGTGATATTTGAATTCCAGTCCTACCAACATGCTGCTCCCCAAAACCTTGTCACAAGACACAGGCTGGAGGGATGGCTCTGTGGTTAAGAACACTTTCTGTTGTTCCTGCAGAGGTCCTAAGTTCAGTTCCCAACAGCACAGCTTGTAACCACCTGTAAGTCCAGCTTCAGGGAACCTGCTGTCTTCTCCTCACCTCTGTGGGCAGCTGCCCTCACACACACCTCTCCTCCCCACATACGCACATAGAGAAAACCCAGAGCCAAGGAGGTGGTGCTGATGACGATGACAATGACCCATGAGACACAGGGATCTTCACCCACTAAAGACTCCCATCAGTTTCTCTTTGTCCTTGTCCTTTTTCTTTCAGGTTTAATTTGTAGTGCGAAGGGCTGCAGCCCAGGGCTGGAGCACACTGATACACATTCCACCCATGAGCTACTGCTCAAACTTCAGGACCCTCGCCCAAACGCCGTACACTGTCAAAATTGCGTCCTGTCAACACTTCTGGCCATTTCTGGGCCAGTTCAAGCTCTTACGGCCCTTCATGCCTGTGCAGCGGATGACCTGGTTCTGCTGCTTAACAGTGCATGTGGGGCTCTGTTCCACGTTTGTCCGCCAGCTCTCTGACATTCTCAGAGCAGCTGGGGGCTCCTGTCCAGTGTTGCTGTGTCTGCTGATTTAGGAGGGTTTGTTTGGGGCCTGTCAACAGGGTTGTGATGGGCACCCTTTCTTTTATGTGTTTGTGCTTTTGTGACAATTGTGTCTCTGTAGGATACATTCTTAGGAGTGGAATGTCTAGATCCAAGGTTACAGAGCCTTCATTTTGAGACAACTTGCCTTGTCTTCATCTGCTTAACTGTTGCGTCCTGTTACCTGTCCACCAGCCCAGTGAAGTGGGGGCCACTTTTACCCACACTGGCCATCATCAATAGGGTTTCAAGTGGAACCAGTCTGGGAAAGGCTAAAAGTTGCTCTCCCTTCCTAGCCCTGCTGAGTTGAGTAGCTCAAACCTTTGTACACACTGCCCTCTAGAGACACACACTCCTCAGTGAAAAGAGGCCCTGGGGCCGGATACCAAGGTCTTAGCTGTGGCAGACATATTGCCTTTGCTGGCTCCTCTCTGGAGGAGTTGGTGCAGTTATGGTTCTGCCTACAACCTGGGTGTGGCATAGTAACTGGCACATAGGTGAAACACTCAGACGCAGCACTCCCTTCAGCATGTGGGTAGAGCTGCGCCGGTTCACTCTCTTCTGAGACCTCAGTTCTCCTCCTTCTCCCCAGGGGGCCCTTCGGGGTTCTGAAGATTCTCTCTTGGGACCAAGGCATTGTCTGTGGCCTGAGAACCCTGGCAGGTGCCCCCTCCCAAGGGTGTTTCAAATGACTTCTGGCCTCAACATTAGTTTGGGAGATGGGACATGCCACGCTTAGCCTGCAGAGGTCTCCAGGGCTCTAGGTCTCCGTGTGTGTGTTATGTCGTGGGTGGGTGGGTGTGTATGTGCCCTAATGAGCACACCTTTCCATTTTTAGGGTGACCAAACCCTTGTAGACTATTTCTGTTTTTGTTTCCTGGGGTATGAGAGCCGGGTGACCACCTCACAGGGAGCCCGGGAGCCTTCCCACCCGCCTGGCCTGATACAATGAGCTCATTTGCTAGCTCGTGACACTGAGACCCAGAGCCTTGGCTTTGCACAGTAGGCCATCCCTGGATCTCTGCAGGGGAATTTGCCAGGCAGAGCTGTGTGACTGAACTCCCCATGGTGGCCCATGAGACCCTGGGCAGTGCTAGACACTCTGTCTAGCTGTCATATGCATGCCCTTGATCAAGGGCTTCCTACTGTAGCCTCTCTTCCCAGAGGCCTTGGAACCCCTGGCAGGCAGCACCAGGCAGAGCCTGTCATTTTATCCCTCCTTAGGTCTCCTCCTCCTCCTCTTTTTTTTTTTTTAGATAGGGTTTCTCTGTGTAGCCTTGGCTGTCCTGGACTCACGTAGTAGACCAAGCTGGCCTCAAACTCACAGAAATCTGCCTGCCTCTGCCTCCCTCAGTGCTGGGATCACAGGCATGCGCCACCACCCCTGGCTTCTTCCTCTTCTTTTTCATCTTCTTTTCTTCTTCTTGTGACAGGGGGTTATTTATAATCCAGGCTGGCCAGGGTTGACTGTGTAATCCAAGATAGCCTCAGACCTCCAGCAATCCTCCTGCCTCTGCATCCTGGGTATTGGGATGGCAGATGTGAGTCACCACATACGGTTTCCATCCTCTTTAAACGAAGGTCCTTAGTGTAATGCCTTTAAGGGGACTGCGGTCTTCCTGCTCATGAGAGCATATCTGCTTGTGGAAGAAGCATCAGAAACCCAGAAAGGAAAGAAAGCCCCGGTGACTCAGCCCTCAATGTGTTGACATTGTTTCATGCCTGACCTAGTGTGCTGTTCTCACAGGGAAGTCCCACCTGGCCATTGTGCAGAAGGTGAACAATGAGGGTGAAGGTGACCCCTTCTACGAGGTGCTGGGCCTGGTCACCCTGGAGGACGTCATCGAGGAGATCATCAAGTCTGAGATCTTGGATGAGTCGGACATGTACAGTGAGTTTAGCCCTCTCCACAGGCCCACAATCCCACTGTCTCCCAAGTTTGGTAGCCCAGGTAGAAAGGCTTCCATGCAGGTTGTGAAGGCCCTGGGCACCCTATACTGGCCGAAGTGAGGCGGGAATACGGCGCGGAGCACAGTGACAGGAGACCTCCTTTGCCCTCCCTGCCTGGGGCCTCGGAACTAGGGGGTCCGGTTCCAGTCCTGGGGTCGGTGGTTTCAGTTCCAGACATTTCCTCTTGCAGCTGACAATCGAACCCGGAAACGGGTATCTATGAAGAACAAGCGTGACTTCTCTGCCTTCAAGGACACTGACAATGAACTCAAAGTGAAGATCTCACCTCAGCTGCTTCTGGCTGCTCATCGCTTCCTGGCCACAGGTAAGAGTGTGGGAAGTGCCTTCCGATATGGGTGGAAATACAGAGGGAGTAACCCTAGGCCTCTGGCCATTCCTCCTACAGAAACAGCGAGTGCTGGGACACATTCACCTTGGAGGGGTCCTACCATCCCCCCTCTCCCTTCTTTGGCTTGTTCACCATTCGTGGCTGCCACAGACTTCCAGGAACAATCTAGTTAGTTTACAGAGCAAGCACGGAGCCGCCAAGGGATAGCTGGGAGTCCCGGCCCGTCAGGCTGTCGACCCCTGCAGTGCTCACCCGCCCTGAAGAGCCTGTTACAGTGGAGCCACCAAACTTCCCTGTGGACGCTCTGCAGGTCCCTGCAGGGCTGCAGTTCTCTCTTGCCACCTCTAATTCAAAGCACCTTCAGGACCCAGGCACTGCCCCATGTGCTCACCCTTGCTGCAGCTCCCTTTCTGGATCACTTGAGGGTGCACAGATTCCTTTCTCCTTGTGTCTTGCTGGTTGTCGACGCAGAGACTAGTGATCGTAGGAACATTTTCAAATAATTTATTTATTTTTTACTGTATGTGCATTGGTGTGAGGGTGTCAGATCCCTGGAACTAGAGTTACAGACAATTGGTGAGCTGCTGTGTGGGTCCTTTGGAAGAGCAGACAGTGCCCGTAACCACTGAGCCATCATTCCAGCCCCCTTGCAGGAGCGCTTACTTAACATGCACAAGCCAAGAATGTCTCTAAACGCCCTACCGTGTTATTCACTTAAGCTTGAGGCCCCCCAGGGAAGTTGTGTCCCCATCTTACTGATGAGAAAACTGAGGCATATAAGTTCAGTAATCCGCCAGAGGTCCTGACTGTTAGTACTGGGGCCGTGCAGGCTGACAGAGACCGTCTAAGCAGCAGAAGCCAAGTGTGGCCCTTCCCAGGGAGGTGCAGACTGAGGATATGGCCCAAGCAGGGAGGAAGCCGTCTTCGTACAGAGGGTGCTGGTGCAGCAGTGACCCAGATCCAGGCCTGCCTAGTTCCGGCCCCATGTGAAGTCCCTCTCTCTCCTGCAGAGGTGTCCCAGTTTAGCCCCCCTCTGATATCAGAGAAGATCCTGCTTCGGCTACTCAAATACCCAGATGTCATCCAGGAGCTCAAGTTTGATGAGCACAACAAGTACCAAGTCCACCATTACCTGTACAGTCGGAACAAGCCGGCAGACTACTTTGTCCTCATCCTGCAGGTGAGCCTCTGACGCTGGGCCTAGGTGCACAGGCCACTCGCCCCTCCTTCCACCTGCACCACCTTTGGATGAGCTGCTCAGAGTGTGCAAACTACTCTTGAGCCTGGCCTGGCTTGCTATGGGTTGCCCACAGTCTCCCCGGAGGCCACTCTTGTGCCCACACGGTCAAGGCTTTGACTGCTGCAGGGCTCTGGGGCCGGCGTTCACACCTCTCTGTTCTGTGGAGGTGCCCCAGTGTGACCCCTCTCCTATTGGCACACAGGCCTCAGACCATCTCTTCAAGCCACGTGGTAACCCTAACCTGTGTTCTTTCAGGGGAAGGTGGAAGTTGAAGCAGGAAAGGAGAACATGAAATTTGAGACGGGTGCTTTCTCGTACTATGGGACCATGGCTCTGACCTCGGTATCCTCCGGTGAGTTGTGGCCAGTTCCCTCTGGCACTTGTAAATTAAGGGCAGCCTGGACGGCTCATGTCAGAAGGAGGCAGGTAGAGGCTGGAGCTGTCAGGCCTGTGGGAATGGAACGGCCTTCCTCATTGAAGGCCAGGGCAAGAGAGGAGCTGAGGGTGGCTTGAGGTAGTGTAGGAAAGACTAGGCAGACAGAGATGGTCAGAGGACCAGGCAGTTCATGGGCTTGGAAACTAAGATAATCAAATGCCTTTCACAGCCCGATGAGATCAGAATGGACAGGTAGGGGACCACAGGATGGACCATCACAGACTAAGACAGGACAGGGGCACGTGGAGGATCGGCACCTGGGGAATCAGGGAGTGCTAAGTGCTGGCGTCGGGTAGTAGCGCAGCCTGGGAAGGCTGGAGATGCTGTCGGCTCCTCCGGGCCTCAGCTACTGCATTTCAGTCAGGCTTGGTTCTGAGAACAGAGGCAGGCATTGGGGGCCCTCCCAAAGATCACCTCTGGGCTTGGGTGGCTCAGCTGTCCCCTGTTTGGGAGGTCATTTTGGGAAAGGGTGGAACCTCAATACCCTAGAAAGTCTCACCCTCCTGGGCTTTGCCTTGTGTGACCACTGATGTTGGCAGATTACTGCAGGGGAAAGAACAAGAGCCATCTTTAGTGCCTGGGACAGGCTATGCCAATAGGGTATTGGCTGTAATTCTTGGAGAATCCCCGTGCCACACTTGTCACTGCCCTTGACAAGAGGCTCACACAGGGCCAGCGCACCCATGAATATCAACACAGCCTTCTCTGTCTCTGTGCTAGGATGAGTCAGGTATTATAGGCTCCCGGGGTCAAGATTGAAGGCAAACAAGCCGGGATCCAAAGAAGGTGCACCTCACCTGAACCTGTCAGCTCTGAGGACAGGTTCTCAGCTGCCCTGCTGAGAGCATCCTTGTGCTTTGGTTTTTGGAATGGCCTTCCTTTGTAACTGGCCTGGGACTCTTCCCCCTCCTGCCCTAGTCTCTTGAGGCTGAGATTGTAGGGGTGCACCAGCTAATGTTTAGGGAGGCCTTGTTTGGAACTCATTTGGATCTTGTTTGGTATAAAGGACTCCACCCAGTGCTGATGTAGACAGTGGCTGTAAGGGCCAGGGGAGATGGCTCTGAGCACTTTCTCTGCACAGGGCTCCTTGGTCTGTCCTGAGTTCCCTTCCCCGCTAAGCGAGTCCCTTAGATGAGATGTGTGCCACTCCCACCTCCTTGCTTGAGATAGCCTGGCCTATTGAATATGCTTCTCCATCCTGTTCCCGTGGCGCGTGACCCCTCTCAGGTCACTGACTTCTCCTCTGTTGCTCCAGCGCCTCCTGTGCAGGCGGGGTGTTCCCCTGGCAAGCTCAACACCCTGCTCTCCTGGCTCTCAGGTAATGAGGCATGCTGGAGAAGTGCACAGCGCCACCTGTTGCTAGAGCTTTGTACTGCAGCTGCACTAATGGCTCCTCTAGGAACCTGGGGACTTCCTGCTGAGCTCATTTATGGTCCATCCCAACTTGGCGTGGCTTAGGGCTCAGTTTCTGGCCTGGAAGGGCCTTTCCAAAGGTCTCAAGAAAGCATCATCCAGCAGACACAGAGCTGTGTACTCTGCCCAGACGGTGGCCTGTGTGCTGTAGCCTGGAGGAAAACAAGCCCGACTGGCCAGCATCTTGCTCCAACCTGCTCACACACCTCTGCAGAATGGCACACCACCCCATCAGCGCTCTCAGGCCTTCTCATCCTTCTTCATAGCCCTGCAGGATGAGGCACAGCCCCAGAGGCAGGCCATCCCTCTGAGTCTGTATCCACTGTTCTGAGCCAAACCCACCCCCTTGTTCTTCTCGAATGAAAAACGGGACTAACTCTGTACCCAGCTCATAGAGCTTTGGTGGGCAATAAGTGAGAGAGCTGATTCAGAATTTCTTAGAGTCCAAGATTCATTATTTTCATTTTCTCTGTAACAACTAAAATGTGGCATTCCCATTAGCAAGTACTTAAGAAAAAAACAAATGCCAGGTGCTGTTTCTGGACGTGGCCCTTTCTGGGAATCATGGGAGCAGTTAGAGATATTTAGCTTGAAGGTCTTCACATGTACCACAGCTGCACAGGATTTAGAAGGACCCGGTCACCTCCTGATTCTGACCAGCCAGGCCTGAAAGCCCTAAAACCTGACAGGTCATTCAGTCAGCTCCCATTTTATACTTATATTATTAGGTTTTTGTTCTTCAGAAAACAAACAACAACAACAGAAAAAAAACCAAGCTCTGTCTGTCTCTGTCTTTCTATCTCTGTGTGTGTATGTGTGTGTGTGTTCCATGTAGGGATGGAACCCAAAGCTTCACACATTCTAGACACATTCTACCACTCAGCTAAATACCTAGACCCTAAGTTTTTACTTTTTATGTTTGAAACTTTCTCTTAGTGTTTCACAGTACACCATGAACTTTCAGAGGTCCTGAGCTCAATTCTCAACAACCACATGGTGGTTCTATTCTGACCCCCTGTCTTAGAATAATAAATAAAATGGTGACTTAGTTTTCACTCACTGACCTCAGCCTCCCTCCCTGTCCTTATTCTTGTTTCATGGATGGTCAGGCATGCATAGCCTGAATCCTGGTGTTTATATCTAAATTGGACACTCTTCCATAAATCCCCTCCTCAGAGGGCAGGCAGAAGGTCTTCATCCCCACATGCACATTCATACATGTACATGCATGCACGCAAATTAAAAAAAAAAAAAATAAGAAGAAAGGGCCTGGAGAGACAGCTCAGTGGTTAAGAGCACTGACCCCTCTGCCAGAGGTCCTGAGTTCAATTCTTCACAACCACAGGGTGTTTCATAACCAGCTATAATGGGATTTGATGTTCTCTTCTGGTATGCAGGTGTACATGCAGACTGAGCACTCACATATATAGAATAGGTAAAAAATTTTAATCTTTAAAAAAATATGGGCTGGAAAGATGGTGCAGTAGTTAAGAGTGTTATCACTGCTTTTGTAGACTACCCAGGTCCAGTTCCCAGTGGCCACATGACACCCTACAATGCCGATGGTTTGTTGTTGTTGTTGATTTTTGTTTTTGTTTGTTTGTTTGTTTGTTTTTAGACTAGGTCTTATTCTGTGGCCTAGAATGGCTTGAAATTCACTGTGTAGCCCAGGCTGGTTTTGCATGCATGTAGTACTGGGAACTTTAAGTTCAGTTCCCGGGACTACTCAATGATAGAACTTTTGGCTAGTATGTTCCAGGCCCTGGGTTTGATCCTCAGCTCTGTAGTAAACAACAAATTCAGCCCTGTCGTGTTAGTGAGTGTTGGCTGAAGAGCATCTTGCCATTCCAGTAGTTAATAGGAACTATTTGTTAGTTTATCACAGTTTTGTATGTGTATATGTGCACAAGCAAATATGCACATGGGAGGTCAGAGGACAACTTGTGGGAGTCAGTTCTCCTCTCCACTGTGTTGTCCTGGGGATTGAACTAGTGGTGTTAGGCTTGGTGGCAAGTCTACCTGCTGCGCCATTTGGCTAGCACTTAGTGCGACAATATCAAGTAATAATGTCAGCATTCCTTTTTTCCCCAGAACTTAAACAGAGTTTCTATTTTCATTAGCTCCTTGCACATGGCCCTCCTCTGTTCTTCGGTCTTAGTAGTGGAGCTGCTACCTGTATATTCCTTGTTTTTTTCTGAGTGGCAGTCACAGCTGTGTGCAGGCACCTGCATTGTCTTACTTGGTTAAAGGCTGCATTGGCCTGCTGAGCCACTGGCTGCCGTGTTCTGTTCTTCCCGTCTCAGCTGTGTTGTAGCTAACTCAGGGGCCAGTAACTTCATAGGTACTCAGAGCAGAGCAGCTCAGCCCCTCACTCCTCAGTCAGCACCTCTGCACACTTCACTGTGCTCAGAACTGAGAGCCCAAGATGGGGACACCTTGGGGCCTTGGTTTCTTCATGCTTCCTCTAGATTCCAGTCACTGCCCTCACTTGGGTAGGGCCTGTTCCCCCATTCCTCTGCCAGAGTTGATGTTACACCTGGACCACACCTTTGACCCTCTTAAGAGCACTGTAGGGTGTGACAGGCGTCATGTTGCCAGGATCAGAGAGAATGAAAACTATGTCTTTCCTTTTGCTTTTTCTTTTTGTTTTTTCTGAGACAGGGTTTCTTGTGTAGCCCTAGCTGTCCTGGACCAATTTTGTAGACTAGGCTGACCTTGAACTCAGAGAGATCTGCCAGCCTCTGCCTCCCTTAGTTCTCAGGGATTACAGGCGTGCACCACCATGCCCAGCATCATCTTCTTCTTTGTCTTCTTCTTTTTTTTTTTTTTTTTTTTCTGAGACAAGGTTTCCCTGTAGCTGAGGCTAGCCTAAAATTCATGATCTTTCACCTCAGCTTCCTGAGTTCTGGGACCAGAGGCATGTGCCACTGGGCTGAGCGCGTGAGTTCTTCTTTCTTAACACATATGCTTTGTTTTAAAGTATACAGTTTCAGGTGGTTATGATACTGTGCCTCTATAATCCCAACACGTGGGAGGTAGCTGGTAGAATTGTGAGTCGGAGGGTAGCTTGTGCTGTGTGAGGAGACCCTGCTTCCAAAAGTGTGAAAAATGACTTTACTTAGCCAGCCAGTGGTGACACACACCGTTAGTCCCAGCGCTCAGGGAGGCAGAGGCAGGCCAATCTCTATGAGTTTGAGGCCAGCCTGGTCTACAGAGAGAGTTCCAGGACAGCCAAGGCTACACAGAGAAACCCTTTTTTGAATTTAATTTTTTTTAACTTTTTAATCTATGTGTGTCTGCATGAGTATATATGCAGGTGTGAGTGTGTGCATCTCTATGTGGAAGCCAGAGTGCCTTGACAACAGTTACAGGTATTGGTAGGATACCAGGCTTGATGTGTGGCTCCTGGGATCCAAACACCAGTCCTCATGATCACGAATCAAGCTTAACTAAGTTGCATCTCCAGCCCTTCTCCCAATTTTTTTTATTTTTAAGTGTGGGTCACATGGCAAAAGTTAGACAGGATGGTGGTTTGTCTGTCATGTGGGAAATCATTGTGTTATACCTGACTAATGAGGTGTTTTCTGGCCACGAATGTCTTGGTTTTCACTTTTTGGTCAGTTTGCTTGGTTGGCATTTTTACTACTTACCATGTGACACTTTGAAGCACACTAACTCACTGGCTCTGTGCAGTTAGAGCTTCTGTGTGTGTGCACTCCCGTTTGCCCCTGAGAACTGTGGCCTACTCCGGGGGCGGACATGGCTTGTGTCCCTAACATCCGAGGTTGGGTCAGGCCACACGCTGGACAAGCATAAGGGCAGGCCCCATGCTGATTATGTGCTGTCCCCACAGAGCGGTCCCCAGCCCACCCGACTCCGCTCAGCCGGTCAGCCTCCCTCAGTTACCCAGACCGCAACACAGAAACGGTACCTTCCTCATCCCTGGGAGGCAGCAGCCAGTTTGGCAGCTGCGTCATGGGCCAGTATGTCTGTGACTTCAGCGTCCGGGCACTCACAGACCTGCAGTACATTAAGGTAAGTGCCTCTCAGGTTCCTGCTTCTGCTCTCCTGCCTTATGCATTTAGATGGCTCTGTCTTGGCGCCAGTGTGGGCTGTCCAGACCTGAAGCCCCTCCCCCCACCTTTTTTTTTTTTTTTTTTTTTGTCCTTAAGAAAAATTTAGATGATGTCAGCTGTTGTATTTCTCTTAGGCCCTTGTACATGCCAGGGAAGCCCTGTACTGTGGAACTACATTCCTAGTTCCTCTTGTTTTATATTTTTGTTTTCTTGAGACACAGTCTGACTATGTAGTCCTGGCGTCAAGCTCTGAAAACCTCCTGCTATAGTCTCCTGAGTGCTGAAACTAAGATATGTACCATTATACCTAGCCTATGACAGTGATGATGATGATGGTGTTGTCTGTCTGTCTGTCTGTCTGTCTCTCTCTCTCTCTCTCTCTCTCTGTGTTACCAACCAAGCCCTCTTGCTGGCCCTAGAACACTTTTTCTCCCAGCTCTTTCAGAAGGCCCTGCCTCATCACATCTCTCCTGGCCCAGTCTAGCTGGGTCCATACCTCATCTTCTGCCCTGCTCCCTCACCCCATCCCCACCTGTCTCTTTCCTCTCCCCTCTACAGATCACAAGACAGCAGTACCAGAATGGACTGCTGGCCTCCCGCATGGACAACAGCCCTCAGCTCACCTTGGACGGCTGTGCCACCTGCTCAGAGAACTTTACGGAGAAGCCTGAGCTGCCCGTGGTGGACGAGACCACGACTCTCCTCAATGAACGCAACTCCTTGCTGCACAGAGCCTCGCAGGAGGGCGCCATCTGACAGGAGGGCCCGGGGACTCCCGCCCACCCTGCGGGGGTCTCCCCAGTGGGCCCACATGAAGTCAGGGAGCCTGATGGGCTAGAAGGGGTGCAGGTAGATGTCCTGCATGACTGAGCGACCAGATACCCCTGCTGAGGGGACCTGGCTGCAGATGGGGACCTCGCTCTGACATGATGCCTGCCCAGCCCAGCTTGTAAGCAAAGGCTGGGCTTTTTTTTTTTTTTTTTTTTTTTTTTTAAAAAACACTGAGAGAATTTTTAAGCTAGGCTCATTGCTCCTCTTTTTAAATATCATTTGGGAAGGGAAGACAGGGTTAAGGAACTTTATGTAAAAAAAAAAAAAAAAAAAAAAAAAAAAAATTTCTTTTAAAGAAACTCCACAAACTTTAAAGGAGGAGGAGGGGCCCTCCCCCCAGGAAGCAATAGCCATAACCTGTTCCCAGCGAAGATCTTGCAGCCTGTGTCTGTCACTCCCGGAGCCATTCCTGTGCAGCAGTGGGGGCCTGGAGCCCACAGGAGGAGACTCCTGGGAGGAAGAGGTTCTACCTAGGACGCAGGGATCCAGATGACAATGACATCAACTGCTTGGACACACGCACTGAGGTGCCGAGTAACTGAGCAGGGACACAGGGGTCCTGCCAGCATCACAGAGGAATGCATCTGCTCTTGTCAACTACCGGATCCGGTGATCTTCTCCGACTCTGCCCACAGGCTCTCCTGGTGAGTCGGGACTCTGATGAGGCCCATGCCCTGCCTCCCATCAACCCCTCTGGACAATTTTTTTTCTCCTGTAAGGGTCTGGCTCTAAGAGTTAGGCACGGTCTTTGGGTCTACATTGGCTTATCTGCTTCCTAGCCATGCCCTCAGTTTTACCAAAGGCTTCCTCAGAGGGGAGGGCACCTCCTTTGGAGGTGACTTGTTGGGCACTCCTTTTGGTTCCAAGCTGAATCTGGCCACGGATCTGTGTGTAGCTCTACTGCCCACCCATACCTGCAAGAAGAGGCAGGCGCAGCTCAGGAAGACTTCCCTGGCTCCCATTCTTATCTCGGGACTAAGCACAGGACATGTTGGGAGCCACCCAGGCTGGCTCTTCATGCCCTTGCCTGTGTAGCTGGCCGAGGCATGCCTGACCTTATTTCACACTTAGGAGGGCCCAGGAAAGTGGAATTTCACCTGATGGCATGCAGTGGATAGCCCTGTTCCCTCTACCGGAGGCTCACGCTAGTGAAAGGGCAATGATGAGCTTGGGCTGAACTGTTGGTGCTGTTGAGCGATGCACACCCTGTGAAGCCCTACCCCAGCACCACCCTGGGAGACCCGAGTGGAGTCAGGTCATGGGACAGAGCTGGGAAGATTGTAGGACCAAGGGTCACATCTGCTCTTTTGTTGGAAAGAGTAGGAGCTGGGGTAGAAGATGCAGGCAGGCGAGGCAACAGGCCTTGTGTGTAATGTTTATTCACTCCTTTCCTCAGCTAGTAGAGGCCTGTCACTCTAGGTACTCTGTCTCTACGTACCCAGAGAACCCTAACTCCTAGGACCAGGGTGTCCTCTACCCCAGCTAGACTGAGGTCTCTTCCGCTCGCAGAAGGTAGTTTCAGCTATAAGGGAAAAAGACACCAGACCTCTAGTCCTTAAAAACCCTTAGTCTTGTGTAGGTACAGCGCGCTCCTGAGTCCCTAGGAGGTACTCAGCTGTGTTCCTGAGAGACCAGATGCCAGGCACGCAACACCACGTGGTGGGTGTGAGGCAGAAGTAGCAGGTGTACACACCTCCTCAGCTGCCTCTCTGCATGCAGTCGTCACCACCGACAGGCAGACCCACCCTTCCCCGTACCTCCCCTCCTCATTTAGAACCGCTCCTTACAGAGGGCCATAACTATCTTCAAACATTACTGGTCTGATGACTTTCTCCTCCCAGTGCAATTTTTCACTTCCTCTTCCAACCTCTGGCTCCTGGGCTGAGCCTGACCCTGGGACTGGCCCGGTCTGCTTGTCTTCCCAGGTAAGGGAGACTTCGAAGACGGCATCCAAGTGGGTAGGCAAGTCACAGCCACCATAGCAAGTGATTCCTATTTATTTTGCATTAAGATTTTAATTTGTATATTTTTGTGATTTATTTTGGCATTGTTATGAGTTTGACTCTCGGGGAGTTTTGTTGTTATGACTCTTGTGTCTTTTGTCACAAAACAATGATAATATTTGCTAAACAATATATGGAATTTATTTTTGATTGGTAATAAAAAATGAAATGCATATAAGTCTCAGTGAGCATTTAACTCAGTGTTTTTGTTTTTAGTGATTTATTTATTTACTTATTTAATGTAGGTGAATGTTCTATCTGCATGTACACCTGCACACCAGAAGATGACATCAGATCCCAGGATAGATGGTTGTGAGCCACTATGTGGTTGCTGGGAATTGAACTCAAGACCTCTGGAAGAGTAGACAGTGCTCTTAGCCACTGAGCCATCTCTCCAGCCCCTTACCTCGGTGTTTTGCTTCTGGACTCTTTCGTTGGTTGTAGAGACAGAAGTGACTGTCTGTCACTTGGGACAGGACAAGGGCAATCGAGTATTCTGGAACTGTTTGGAAGTGAAATGCAAGAAGAACTGTAATTTACAAAGTATATATAATCAAGGCAGTTCCCACAGGAGTTGCAGAGTGGCAGCTGCTGGCAGACATGCAGGGCAAATAAATCAGATGTCATAGGACTCTGTGAGTGCTGGAATGGGGCAACTAGAGTGAGCAAATTGCCCTTCCTCTGTGGGGGCCAAGAGCTCTTTGGGCTCGATGTAGGTTACTTTGTGTATTTTGGTGGCTTTCAGGTTTAGAGTGTCCGTCTCCTGACAAAGCTGACCTAGGGTTTTCACTGTAATCACTCAGAACCGCAGCTGTGGAACCCGTCCTGGGCCCCAGTGCCAGAGAATCAAGCAAAGCTCAACAATAAACCAACAGAGGTTGTTTTGTTTGTGCTTAAAACAGGACTTTCTTTGGAGTACCAGCTCCTAAGTAATGACACGGAGATCTTTTACTTATTATTAAAGCTTGGCCTTAACTTAGGCTTGCTCCCCAATTAGCTCTGAACTTAAATTGTCTCGTTCACATTAATCTGTGTTCTGCCACGTGGCTGTTACCTCTCAGTCTTAGTCCTAGCACTGTTTCTTCCTCTGTTTCTTCCTGCTAGTGACCTTTGGGCCTCTCTCTTTCCCAGAGTTCCTATCTCCGCCCAGAAGTCATGCTGCCTTCTCCTGCCTTCGCTCTAGGCCATCCAGCTCTTTATTAACCGCCCCCCCCAGAAGGTGATGGAGGAAGTGTTTATAAAACACTGAGATGGGTGACACTTAAGGATACAAAAATCTGGTCTGTACTGAGCTCTCTGCTGGTACAGAAATCCGCATTTGAACACACAAAGACAACCTTTACACAGGGCACAGAAGGATCACCCCTAGAAAGGGTCTCACTGTGGAGCCCAACCTGGTGTCATTTGATGGTGACACCCTGGCCTCCGCCTCCTGAATACTAGGATTGTAGGCACATACTACCATGCCTATTCTTGGTTTTGTTTTGTTTCTGTTACATGCCTCTGGCCGATCTGGAACTTACTCTATAGACCAGGCTGGTCTCAAACTCACAGAGATCTGCCTGCCTCTGCCTCCTGAGTGCTGGGATTACAGGCATGTACCACCACACCCAGCTCTGGTTAAGTTGATTTTTGAGACAAGATCTTGCTCTATCTAGGTGGCTGGTCTCCATTTGCCCCCCTGGTTGAGCTGGATTTGCTGGCACATGTAATCCCAGCACACAGGAGGCTAAGGAAGCAGGATCGTTTATTTGAGGCCAACCGAGGCTATATAGGAAGACCCTGTCAATAGGGGGAAAAGGTAGGCAACAAAGAGAATATTCCGGATGAAAGGGTAAAGATACAGGAATGTGTATACAGGGATGGGAAGAAATGCACTCCTCTGCTGTCCATTCCAAATGTGTTTGGTGCCGAGTCCACGCTACACACCAGCTGCTAGCTTTGTGAGGAAGAGCCTCAGGAGAGATCATCCAGAACTCCTAAGGCTTGCGCCTCATTTCGTTTCAACCTCTGTTCAAATGTTACCTCCTTAGAGAAGGCTTCATTTCAGATAGCATCTCAGTGTTTCTCTATTCTGTCTTTAGAACACTTACTGCAAGATCTTAAAATGTAGATGCGTGTTTCCTGTTGTCCCAGCATTAGATTCGGAGCACCGTGAGGGCGGCAGGCTTTTGTTCCTGCCTGAGTCCCAGCCTTTAGAAAGGTTCCTGTACTGCACACAGTCAGTGCAGGGGACACTTGTCAGATGAACAAATGAACATCTTGGCTGGATCCTGGGCCCAGCCTGATCGTGAGGAGGAAAGAGCTCGCTGGGTGAGCGTAAGAAATGCAGAAGCTAGCCTGGGAGGTCTGTCAGTGTGTACACATGTATCATACAGCATGTGTGTGGCGGTCAAAGGGAAACTTTGTGGAGTTGGTTCGCCCCTCCCTTTCCACAGGTTTCAGGGATTGAGCTCCGGTTGCAGCTCATGCGGCAAGTGCCTTCACACCTGAGCCATTTCACCAGCCGTGTTCTGTGTAAAACAGGGTCTCTTTGTAGCCCAGCCTGGCCTTGAAATTTCAATTATGTTGCCTCTGTCTCCTGAGTGCTGGAATTATAGTAGTTATGGGCTTTAAATAATGAAGAATAAATGACATGACAAAAAGTGGAAATGCTCTGACCCAAAAGACCACTAAGGAAAACATCCCAGGGAGGACCAGTGAAAAGCCTAAATAAAGGCCAAGTGTCTCCGTTGAAGTTATGATGGACCGGAGATGGAGCAGAGAGTGGCAGAGAGAAAGAACAGCATTCTAAACTGAAACCAACCCCTAGTGGCCTTCGTGTACGTGGAGACTGACAGTTTAAAGGACCGTCTGTTGTTTTCCAATTTTTACTCAATCTCCTTTTACTCACGGTTTTTAGCCTCAAAAAGAGTATATAGAGAGAGAAAACAAACAACAAAAAAAGGTCCCTTGAGTTCCTCCCTCCTTTCCTGTAGGTTGTTCCTTGCTAGTTGACGGCTGCAGACACGTGACTCATCGCATGCACACCATCTGCTTGTCCTGGTGTCAGCATTTTATCTTGACTCGGAGACATGGAGAAAACTAAAGGTTGACTTCACTCTAAAATCCGGGGACTTTTTTCCTTAAAAGCAGCAAGACAGTTCTATGCAAAAGAGCAGGCACATCTTAATTGCTTCTGCTGGTAGCTTGTTCTGTTGTCCACAAGAGGCAAGTGTTTTGTAGCGTATAGCACTGTTCAGATTATAAAAACAGAGCAAAAAAATAAATAAATAAAAACAGAGCAGAGACACCGTTCTGTTTACAGTGTCGTTGTCAACCTTGTAGAGACTCTTTTAGTTTTTAAGGGTGTGTGTGTGTGCCACATATGTGTGAGGGCAGATGAGGGTACAGAACTCCTTGGTGCTGGAGCTCAGGTGGTGGTGAGCCACCCAATATGGATACTGAGAGCACACTGGAGAGCAGGCTGTACCCTTACTCACAGAGCCATCTCTCCAGCCCCTTGTTTTGGTTTTGAGACAAGATCTCACTCTATAGTCCTCATAGTGAGTATGGCCTCAAACTCACTCTGAAGGTCAGGCTGGCCTCTGCTGGGATGCTGCTACACCTGGATACATGTTTTTCAGCAACTATTTTCCTTCCTGGTCTTTCCCTATGGGCCTGTTTCTGTACATTATCTTCCATACATAACTTGTGGCCATATTGCACATACTTTTTTAGGTTGTTATTTTCAAGGCAGTGAGCTGTGTCTACAGAATCCTTTTAAAAAATCATTTAAGAGGCTGCGGAGATGGCTCAGTGGTTAAGAGCACTTAGTGCATTTGCAGAAGACCTGTCTCCCAGAACCCACACGATAGCTTACAAATGCCACTAACTCCAGTACCAGAGGATGCAGTGACCTCTTCTGGCCTCCTTGGGCACCTGCACACATAGTGCGCGCACACACACACACACACACACACACACACACACACACACACTTGGGGCTCACACATACACACAAAACAAATGTTTTAATATTATTTAAATTGGTATGGATAACACGTGTACTTGTTCTAGGATGTTTGAGGAGTATAGAAAAAAATACAAATGTATGTGGATACCCGTAAAGAAACTAATCACACACGGAAGGGTTCTTGATAAAGGGCAAAGAACACTCCATCCAATTGATGGAGCTGTCTTGTAAAACGCCGACAGAAAGAACCCTCTGGCCCAAGAAATCAGGATAATTCGCCACCACTGTTCTGGGGAAGCTGGCAAATCCTAAGCTTCCTGACAGCTGCTACCTTCTTGCATGGCTGTATGTGACAGAACGCAAAGGCATACAGACTCAAGTGTGTGAGCATCGCGTTCTCTTGTAAGCAGCCGCTGCGAAGATTCAAGGAAACTGATTTTTATGGGTTTGAGTCTTCACTTTGGGTCTCCCTGTCAGGGCAACTTCTTCAAAAGCAGGTGTGTGTCTTGATGTGCACAGATTCCAGCACAAAGCAGGAACACCTTCAAGAAGCTTTAGCTTTGAAAGAAACCAATAGGGCTGGAGAGCTGGCTCTAAGGTGAGGAACGTGTGCTGAGGACCGGAGTTTAATTCCCAGCACAACCTCACACAAGCTCCATGGGGGAATCGAACAACCTCTTCTGGCCTCCTAGAGCACTGCACTCGCATCCACAACCCCCCCTACACACACATAGACATAATTAGAAAATCTCAGAAACAAAGAACCCTGGCTTCCCTGCGCCCAGGCCCTGGTTCTCATTTAGCCCTTAGCCATGCAGGCCAGGGGGTTAACAATCTTCTTTTCCTGGTCCACACGCTGCGGGACCCCGAGGTCGTCCCAGACAGGCGCTCCGCGTCCTCCCAGGCCAGCGGAGCCCCACGCCCCCCGGCCCGCCCCGCGCCGCTTGTTTACTCCCCGGCGCAGCCTAGTTCTCCCCGGAGCCCGCCCCCGCCGGCCGCCTATTGGTCGCAGGGACGCGAAGGCCTGCGCCGATTGGCCGAAGCGGCAGAGGCTCAGGTGAGTGGGGTAGGCTGCGCCCGAGGCCCAGAAGGGGTAGCAGGCCATGGCGGCGGCGGCGGCGGCGGCGGCGGCGGCTGTGGCGGGTTGGCTGGGCTGGGTGCTCGCAGCGCTGTGTCTGGGCAGCAGCGCGGGGGAGGCGGCGCCGGGCGCGGGACTGCTGAGCTTCTGCATGGAGGAGGACGGCGCGCCGGCCGCAGGCTCCCTGCGCGGAAGGGCAGCGCCGGAGGCCACTCTGTGCTTGCGACTCTTCTGCTCGGGCTTAGCCAACAGCTCCTGGACCTGGGCGGCCCCCGAGGGCGCAGGCTGCTCCGAGGGCGGGCGGGCCACGGAGCCCGAGGAGGCGGCCGCCCCCACGGGCGAGTGGCGCGCGCTGCTGCGCCTGCGCGCCGAGGCCGGGCACCCGCGCTCCGCGCTGCTGGCCGTGCGCGTGGAGCCGGGCGGCGGGGC